TTGGCCTATATTAATAATAAAATAAGCCCTATGTCGTATTGTTTTCTATATGGTGGGTGGGGGAGGGCGTATCACCCAAGACCCCTGTTACACGCCTGCTTATAAGTGGGCCCCCCCCCCCCACTTTGAAAAACGTTCCGCCGGCCCTGACATTATACAAAATGTGATGGAGGCATGTATCTGATGGACAGTCCCGGGTGGGGGAGAACCTTAAAATTATGGACACATAATTTATAGCATGTGATATGGACTGAACATGTACATATACAGCATGTGATGGAGGCATGTGATGGACGGACGAACGTATGCCTTTCTTCAATTCATTTCCAGTAAAATAATTATTACAACTTCAAGAAAACTCGTGTTTTTATTGCATAAATTAATTTCACAATCTTTTATTCTGAAATATAGCGGTATCAATATTCTTTCTATAACGGTACAGCCACCGGGAACAGGCGTCGAACAGAAAGTTTCAACAGCCCAACGTACGTGTGTTTTGTTGCGACATCATAAATGAAGCTGCTCACGTGACCTCTAGGACCACACTCCCGAAAAGAAGTTTATTTATTGTTTTCAACGAAGCGGTTTCGAATTAAACTTGTTTCAAAATTGTTTGAGTGAACGTAACTATGAAAATAATTATTTAAACAACACCATTGCTTGATTGTCGTAGAAAATGTAGTAGGACAGTACAGCACTGTATAGTGAGTGTAATTACAAATACTAGCCCTTCAAAGCCTAAGCTAATTAATTGGGCTAGTTAGTAGGAGCATGGAGGTATTATACCTCCATGGTAGGAGCATGGGCCCAAGCTAGACAGACAGACAGAAGAAGAAGAAGAAGAAGGAGAAGGAGAAGGAGAAGAAGGAGAAGGAGAAGGAGAAGGAGGAGAAGAAGGAGAAGGAGAAGGAGAAGGAGAAGGAGGAGAAGAAGGAGAAGGAGAAGGAGGAGAAGAAGAAGAAGAAGAAGATATAATAATGCATTGGCCTCCATTTATACTTGGAATACTGGCACACTCATTGATATCTGAAACATAAAATAACAACAGTAAAATAATAATAATGATAATGATAATAATTATACTACTAATAATAATAATAATAAATCATTCTAACATGTAGTTTCTCTCACTTATGAATAATCAAGTATAATCCTGTCTCTTATACACATCTAGATGTGTATAAGAGACAGCATTCCTAGTTATGCGTGTAATCAGCACTACTAATGTCATTTCAAATCATTCACCTCCTACCAGGTACCCATTTATACAAGTTTGGGAGACAAGAGGAACCTGGTAGCTCAGACACGAAGGCCTTAGGGGAGAAGAAAGTTCTACGGCTGACTGGATAAAAAATTGCTCTACTACCTGTTGTACAAAATGTTCCAGTGAAGCAACCTGTACAGGTACAGGTATAATCAGTGCAGGAACCAGCAACAGCATTACAAGCTGCTCCATTCTGGCAGAGATGATTACCACAAGCATTGACACCTGTGGAAAAGAAAAAAAAAGTTAACACCTTCAGACAATATCAATATAGTAATAATATGTAGTTGTTTCTCTATAATGCTTTCAAACTGTCACTGCCAAACCTTCTCTTTGTCCAATACTTCCTGAAAAACCCAAACATACAAGCAGCTGCATTCTGATAGAGGCTGTTATCATAAGAATTTTTAGGTAAAAACAAACAGTTTATAAACAATAAAATAACATTATCTTATCTACGGTTGGCCCTCCACAAAAAATGTAAAACCATTAACCATTTCTATGAGGATACACCTTTAACATGTTTAATATGTGCCTTCTTTTAGGAAAACGCAAAGTAAAAAATATCTATTACCTATACAATATAAAAAATATTAAAATTTCCAAATGGAACCCAGATTTAAGAGTGGTAGAGCCCGAAAATAATAGTACTTGAATTATATTTTTTCACTAAAATGCTTTCAAACTGCCACTTCTCTTTGTTCATCCCTTCCTCAAAAATCCAAACCTTATTTGACAAATATAAGGAATTGATCTACCTGTTTGACAGAATGTTCCAGTGAAGCAAGCTGGACAGGTACAGGTATAATCAGTACA